GCGTCGCGCGGCGTTCGCGAAACTCGAGAGTCGCTGAATCCAGTTCACCGGATGGGCTTTTAGACAAGCACGGATGGCAACGACGGCGGCGGTAACGAATTCGGCGGGCGATCGAAATTACACTGCGATTCGCTCGACAATGGCCGCGATTCCTTGCAAACAGGATCAGAGTCGCCGTTAATTTGTCCACCAGACTCGGACTCTCCTCTCTCTCTCTCTCTCTCTCTCTCTCTCTCTCTCTCTCTCTCTCTCTCTCTCTCTTCCTCTTCTCCATCTCCTCTTCATCCGGCCGCGCGCTGCCGCTATTTCGCGGACTCTTCATCCACCTAGTTCGAGTTAACTTCGTCTTCCACTCTATTCAAACAGCGTCCACGCTCCAGTCCGCCTCACCTACTCATTAGCGGACCCGCCGTCCGTTACTACTAATGTACCAGAGTCGGCCAACAAATTTACATGGCGCGTTGCCGAGAGTTACTTATTAGAACGCCGATGCGCACAATGTAATATTGCGATTCCGCAAACTTCGACGCTAATTACGCCCTGCGGCGTTGCCAGGCGATGCTCGTATAAATCTTGCGTAATAAAACGGTAACAGCTTCTCTCGCAGCGCGTTTAAGGAATTACAGAGGGAAAGGCAGTGAGGAAGAGAGAAAAAGGGAGAATCTCGCGATGTCAATTATTATTATTATTTGCGAAATATTCACAAGCGACCCTCGCCGCTACTGTATATTCCCCCGCCGAAAAGAAGAATATACCTCTCCACCTCGCAATTTTGCCTCATAACCCGCCCTTCAAACTGCGATATATCCTCGCGTTGCGCTTTGCGTCTCGCGGAAACAACGAGGCGCGCAGCGAGAATTGCGCTTTTTTGTGTCTCACAGCGATCCCCAAACACTTCGCTCCGTTAGCGCCGCGCCGACTCAATGACGGAGTTTGAAAGACGCGTTGAGCGCGAGCATTTTTACGTGTATCTTTCACAGTGTGTCACGTTAGGACAGCTACCTGTTCGGGATGACACATGGTGTTGCCAGACCACGGCTCGCATTAAAGGGGGACCGTTTTGCATTTTTCGCGATGCGGTTAAAAGCACCGGCGTTTGTCGAGCGCTACGGCGTCACGCGAAACGCAGAAACGAGACGAGACGAGACGAGAGGAGAGGAGAGGAGAGGAGAGGAGAGGAGAGGAGAGGAGAGGAGCGTCGCTCTGCACCGCGCCGCGCTCGTTTCGACTCCATCAACGCAACATTATTCGCCCGCATGCGGGAAGCTCTCTGTTTTTCAGTGCGTACGCCACCCCGGTACATTTAATACTTACAATCTTTTTGTCTGTAACTTTGCATTAATCCAGGGAGCGTAATAAAGCGAATACGAATAAACACAACGCGAGACTGGCTGGCTCCGGGCGCAGCGCGGCACGGCGATGGCGGACTCACCAAAAACTACCAACGGTAGCTACAGGATATCCGGCGAAAGTAGGCAGCTGGGATATGCAAACGCGACCGTAAGCCCCGGCGGATTAAGCACGGACGTATTTTCAATTCGCGATAGCAATAAGTTCAACCTCGTCCGCTCGTTCGTTACTTACTCACCCGTTCGTCCTCCCCCCCCCTCTCTCTCTCTCTCTCTCTCTCTTTCTCTCTCTGTTTCTCTCTCCTCCCCTCTTTCTCTCTTTCCTTCTCTCTATCTCTTTGCCGTCCACTCTCACCGTTTTTCCAAACCTTCCTCTTTAACCGCTTTTTGCACCGCGATCTCGTTAGTATCGTTTTTATTCCAGCGTTCCGGCTCGCGTGCATTTCTCTCATTCGGAGACCGTATCGAATCCCTTCGCCGATCGTCAGCGATCCGAAAGAACGGTCGTACCTGACGCCTATTCATATTCTTTATTGGCGTTATTCGTCAGTTCATCTATTTAAATCGCGCACTGCACTATGCGACGATATCTCGCGAGTACGTTCCCACTATTATCTCGGAGAAATAATAATTACCAGAAGTGGAGTTATGCGTTCTCTAATATCGGGTAAATCGCCCCCTCCCTGCACCCTATTCTTGTCGTTTTTTACCATATATTATATACGACTTTCCCGTGTATTATTGGTTTCTTGCGATAGTTCATTTTCTTCTTCAACGAGCAAACGAGCGCAATTAAAATTTCATTTAATGAAGCAGAAGCCGATGTGCACGCGGAAAGTATTCCGAATCGTCTCCATTTCCCCGAAGACGCGAATTATTCACCGCAGGACGAACTCTCCGCGATCAAAAATCGCAATCGCGCGCAGAATCGATGCAGCAATAAGAGAGCGATTAAACGTATTCCCGTTACGCTCGGAATCAAACGTTCGAAAAATAAAATTCGCCAAATAAAATTCGCCAAATAAAATTCCCCGGATGCGTGCGATATTAAAATTATCAGACTCTCGACGTGAAATCCGCCGGAGATCGTTTAATCAGTATAAATAGCCATTCTGCGTGTTTAATCATCGAATTCAACAAACAATTCTCGACATCCTTCACGAGCAAACACGGACGAAAAAGGAGAATAGAGAAATAAAAATAAACCAAAAAAACCAAAAGATACCGTCCGTATGTCGATCGTGCTCGCGCGCGTGCGTATTATATTATTAATCCAGAAACTCGCAACAAATGAGAAAGGGCGTTGGGCACCGAATCCACGCGAGGGAGAAACATTTGTATAAATCTGGACCGCGCAAAACGCATCATCCATCAGGCACCCATTAGACCATCGGTGTGACCGCGGTGCATTCGCATGCACGATGGGCACTCGACGGTCATCTAATGGACACCTACGCACTTTTTCGCACGGCCCCTATTCGTCATGACCGTCGGCCGGTACATATATGGATACATAGATACATACATATGTACATACGTACAATACAACTCGCGAAAAAGCTGACGAACGTTTATACAACGTGAGAAGAATGTTGCTCCTGGTCACGTCTGCCCTAGTCCACTCACGTAACGACGAGGGAAATAAAAAACGTGCACGTTGCTTTATTCCTAATAACGAAATAATAAACACGACAAAAAGGCTACAGGAACAACCCCGAGTGGTTCGTCCTCGTGTAACGAACGTGCGGCTGTGCGGCACGATAAAAGAGAGCAAATGCTAATCTTTCGGATCAGCAAAAGCCGAAAACGGAATCTACTCTGCCTCTCGGCTTCTCCGTCCCCCTCTCCCTTTCTCTCGCTTCTCTTTACCAATAAAAAAGAAAAGACAACTTATTAGATACGGATGGGCGAGCATCGTGAGACGCGGCAACCTTCAAAGGGCCCCCTCCGCAAATCACGTTCAACGATATTGCGGCAGAGTCAAGAGTCAGAATATTGAATAGTGCTTAAGAAGGAATTACGTCGCGCGCGTGGAATCGCGTAACGCCAATATGCGACCCGACTGTACCAGAGAAAAGAAGAGAGAAGGAAGGAAAAAGAGAGATGAACACCGGTTTACGTTCTGGTAATCGTGCTTTTAGCGCCAATACCGATTGAACGTACGATGAAACGCGACGGCCGAGACTGCAAACGTGTAGTCGCCGGTAAATTAAGGTAGACGAAGGTGTAGGTAATAGTGGACAAGGTAAAAGGCAAGAAGGCAGACAGACAGACAGACAGACAGACAGGCAGGCAGGCAGGCAGGCAGGAAGGCAAGAAGGAAGGAAGGAAGAAAGGAAGAAAGGAAGGAAAGAAGGAAGAAAGGAAGAAAAGAAGGAAGGAAGGAAGGAAGGAAGGAAAGAAGAGCGGAAAATTTTTCATTGGAATCAAAAGTTCGGCGTACTGAAAGTTTAATCCCAGACTCCGTGGGCGTGGTGCGGCTTGAATGAAAAATCTCTCCTCTGCTTCTGGTCTCCAGCAGCTACCTCTACCCCACGTCTCTGTCTACCTTTTGAACGAGCTCTTCATCGCACGAGAGAAAGAGAGAGAGAGAGAGAGAGAGCTCCATCCCTCCATATTCTTATCGCTCTCGCGCTTTTTCGCTATCGCCGTCGAAGAAAGATGTTCCTTTGCCGACCCGTTGCCGGCTAAATTCGACGGAACGCCGATCTTGATATGAGCATGTCAAGACTTATTTCGCGGTTGAATCGAGCGACTAATATATCGGCACTTCCATCCCCGACCTCGTCGTCGACGAAGACGACGACGACGACGACGACGACGACGACGACGACGACGACGACGACGACGACGAGATGCCAATAGCATCGCTTAAATCGCGAGCAAATCGCGACGGACGATTTAATAGCTGGTAAACCACCATCATGTCTCGCTTGCGAGATTTTTTCGCGATCGACTCTATTAAGACTTGTATTCCTGCACTGGTTGAATAATTACCTCTCTCTCACCTTTCTCTCTCTCTCTCTCTCTGTCTTTCAAAACTCAAGCCACTGGAAAGGATCGCTGATACGAAGGGATCACAACGACGATGTGGGGATAAGGTGACGGCGAGGTCGTTATCACGCGCGATTCTCCGCCTAACAGCTCGAGATTAAGCTAAAGATTGATGCTTAACTCCATTTTGTCCGCACTATTCAATACCACCCTCAATTAATCAACGTGAAACGCCAACACGCGCGTACAGCCTGCCGACCGACCAGCCTTAATCTGCGAGAGGCGCGGCGGCGTCCGAGCATGCGGCCTCGCACCCTCATCCTCCCACCCTCCGAAGCTATCAGGATGTAGGTTTTGCGGCAATACGTTCGGGATGGTAACAGCAGCGGTACCACTCGTTTAAAACGCATTAGGGAACGAGCAAACGGACAGATGAACGGACGGACGGACGGGCGAGGGCCGTGACGCAAGTCCACAGCGACTCTAAGCGCTGCAATTCCGCAGCTGCCGTAATTCTTGCTCGCGCTTTTTGATCGAGTGTCATCAACGTTCACATCTGTAGTAGGTCAGGCCGCTGCAGCCGACCCTCTCTGACTCCCCACCGACAGTTTACCCTTATAATATCTCACCCTCTCTCTTTATCCCTTTGTGTTCCAGTGAGACCGCTGAGCGTGAAGATACTCAGCAGCGAGCATGCACCTCTCAGTGCGAATCGCAAGTACGACATCAACTGCATGACGGTCGGCTCGAGGCCGCCGGCCAAGCTGTCCTGGTACTTGGACGACCACCAGCTCACTAATCACACCGAGAAGGTGAGTGAACAATGTCTGTGGCTGATCACGCGATCGGGAACGGTTATCGCGAAAGGGTTCCTCTGTCGGAGCGAACGGCTGAATCTCCCGGAGGGGGGGGAAAAAATAATTAGTCTTTCTGAAGCGCTTTGGAAAGTTCACCCGTTGAAAAGGTCGATTCCCTGTTCCTCTTCCCTCTTGACCCGCGCTACAACGACCGACCCTCACTTCTGCCCTGGATCGCTTTCAAGCGCCGAAAATGTAACCACTCGATATGCATCACACGAATTAGGTTGATTGGAACGATGGTACCTCGCAAAGTTGTCGCCGGCGACATGGCACGGAAAGAGGAAGAGAGAAAGAAAGAGCAGAGAACCGCAAACAAACGACGCGTACTTGCGGCCAAACAATTTCCCGCTGCACCCTTCAACGGAACGGGAGGCTTTCCGAATAAAATTCGGCTCCGTTCTCGCGCTGTCTAATAACAGCATTAACCCCATCATCGATATACCCGCGGCACGAATCGATCTCCATTACCGCCTCCTATCGTTCCCCCTCGCGTTACACTACACCGATCATCCCTCGTCTCGCGAGCCTCTATCTCGCGCGCACATCTCGTACGTACGAAATACTTATTCAGCCGCGGAAGCGTTCTTTTACCCGCATGCCTGGGACGAGTCACGCCAACCTGCCGCCGCGAAATGATTTAACGCCGGCGAGAACGTCGCGTCCAAGATCGCGCGTGTTCGCGAACGTCGTCCGCAAAGCGATCCGGAAGCGCGCACGAGCGCGGTCGCCGATGAGGGGAAAAAGAGTCATTTCACCGAGAACGACTTAACCCCCGGAGGTCGCGAGGGTGCGCCCATCCACTTCCCGAAAAAAACCGCACGGGTCGGCTGAGACACGAGGCACAGCTTTGCTTGCGTTCTCCCGCCTTCGATCGCTCGCTCGCGAAATCACTGGCATTAGCGCCGGTATCGGTATTTGCATCGTTGCAATTAAGCTCCCCCCCTGACACGCCATGGCGCAATTACCGGATAGAGGCGATGCTTTCGTGATCTCTCGCTCTCGCTCCGTTCGCCGCCGCCCGCCGACGCCTCGTCTCCGTCTCGCGTGCTGCGCTTCCCGCCCCCGCACTCTTTGATCCGGCCGATGAGGAAACTCCTGTTACGTACTCGAACTCCGGCGTACCATCGATCTATGCCCGTCTTGCTCGTTTCCGCGGCGAACTCTTCCTGAAACGTGATTCTTTGACTCGCCGTCGCCAAATTGCATTTCGAATCTCGGCGTACACGACGCTCTCTTCCTCTCTTGTCCTTCAACGGTGTCGCGGTGCGAAGGTCCAATGGGCTCGCTTGCGAGGCCGCAAGCTCAAAAACTGAATTGGTCGTCACGCGAGAGTTGAACTCTCTGCTATTTTACGCAGAAGCGATTACTAAACCCCTCTTCGGAGACGAAACACTCGAGTAGAGCATTTACGAACATTGTTTCTTGAATTTTACTTATGTAGTTAGTTTTTAAAATTAGTCGTATATTATAGAGTTAGTTATTTTATAATTATACACGCCCCTGATGTAAGAAAATTGATAATTATATAAGTGATACATGTCAAACATTTCTACAGCACGATCGAGAATTTTTCGCTCAGTCGGAAATTTCGCTTTTTCCGCTTGAATTAATCGGGTGGATTGAGCGATGATCGATGGGAATTCGGCACGATTGGGGCCGTACGGAGACCTGTTCCAACTAAGAGTAGACTAAAGTTACCCCTCCTAATGTAACCACGCGTATAGTACGCGGATAACTATGAAGCGACAGATACTATCCGTCATCTGACGACTTGTCGATAGTTCTATGACAGATCCGAATGTCGATAGAGGACAGGAGAGAGTTAGCAACTGAGAGAGCGAGAGAGAGAGAGAGAGAGAGATAATCAGTATTAATACGGAGATCAGATGTTTGTTACCGAATTTGCGTGATAACTCGCGATCGCGCCGGCCGATATAAATGTTCATTAGAAGCATCGCGTGTGTTATCACCGCCACCTTCCAGCGTTATCTCTTTTCGTCAATTCAGAATTATTTATCAGTCCGACAACAACAATCGGATCAGCCCCGAGGATCAAATTGTACGCGTCAAGGTGAATCGTCTGATGGCGGAAATTCGCAATAAACAGCAACAATAAAAAGAGATAAAAGGGAAGTCGATAAAACGAGCATGCGCAATCTCCATTCGCAAAAATTTCACATAGTAGTAACTCTCTCTCTCTCTCTCTCTCTCTCTCTCTCTCCCCTCCTCTCTCTCTCTCTCTCTCTCTCTCGCACTCTCTTTTCCCTCTCTCGCAGGCTATTTCCGTGCATAATCGAGATGCAGTAAAACTTGACGCATGAAAAATGAGCGCGCATAGTCCGGTTGCACTCGGCGCTCGAACGCGCGTACATTTTGCAATAACGATTCGCTCGGCTCGATCGGTCTCACGCGGCCGTGATCGACGATGATCCACGCTAGTATGTAGATTCAAAGAGCTGATATTTTCCGCCGCAAATAACGACCACGTTGTTGTTGGTGGGCGGACCAGGCGGACCCAGGCACAGCCACCAGTTCGGCGTTCACCAGTTCTGACGCGTTCGCGCTATCTCGCGTTATACGTCATAATATCGCGGTGTCGAATGAAGTTCGTACCGGCAGAGACATATCGAGGCATGTCGAACAAGGGGTGAGGACGGAACGAGTGAGAGACCGGCAATGGAAGGCATATAGGGGGCGAAGGGACGCGAGAGACGAGCAACGTGGATACGAGGGGTCGCGGAAGCGCGGAAGAGAGCGAGAGAGAGAGAGAGGGGGGAGCGGTGGATTGTGGACAGTATAGTTGGCAGTGGGTGATTCGACTTTGCCGATTTATGACCGTTGCGCGAATTTCAAGCCAATTTCGTTCTGGGCTCACCTCTCTTTCTCTCCCTCTCTCTCTCTCTCCCTCTCTCTCCCTCTCTCTCCGTCTCTTTCTCCCTCTCCCTCTATGCTCTACAGTATGTACATTGTCGGCCAAAAGTTTCAAGCCTTTCTCCGGTAATCTGCCACCGAGAGAATATCGGTAATATCTTATCACTGAGAAAATATCACCGAAATAGACGCCGCCCCTATCTTACCTTCCTCGGCTGGCTAAAGCCTCCGGTCAACGGATGTCTGTCTTTCGCGGTTTTCCGCCCGGGACTCTCTTCAGCTTTCGTAGCATCATCGATCCGCTCGTAATTTAGCAAACGAGGATACTCGTTTTCATTCGTTATTATCTCGTTATTATCCGTCTATCGCGGCTGAAAAGTCGCCGGAAATGTCGCATGTGCCTCATTCATATATATATTATATAGAAAAAAAAAAAAAAAAAAAGAAAGGAAGAGGGAAGCATACGACACGCATGGCACGTGCTCGTCACGCTTCTCGGGGAGCTGCGGAGACTTGCAACTTTAATACTTTTAATGGGACCGGCAGATACGCGCGAATCCTTGTGAGTCAGGCGCCAACTCGTCCGGCTCAGAGAGGAGTGGTCATATGTGTTTGATAATTATATATTTTCTCAAACAAACTAACCAACTCTCTCTCTCTTTCTCTCTCTCTCTCTCTCTCTCTGTCTGGACGAAGGCGCATTTGCGTAAATACAGAACAGAGCACGGCGCGCGCGGTTTCGTGCGCATTAAAGTTGCCCGTTACACTGGCAAGCAGTGTGAAGCACTCACGTGAAAGCCGGGTCCTATTACACCACCTGCAAAGGTGGATGATAAACGCCTCCTGGACTGACTCGTCCGGTCATTAAGACTTATCGCCGGATTAACGCTTGGCTTATAAGCCTTCCCCTTTGCCTTCGCACTCGATACGCCCTTAGCTCACAAACGCGCTGCCTCGCACACGAGTTGGATAATTATTCCGTGGCTTTTACCATCACCGCCATCACAGGCAGAACCACCCTTCCGAGGGCCCTCGGGGCTATGCGCTCTCGACGAAAGCCGCGTAAAAGTCGTTGAAAAATGCGGCTTGGAAGCGCGAAACGAAGCTCTCGCAATAGTTCAGCTTAATTACTATAATCTGCCATAATTACTATAATCTCGGCTTAATCGCGACGATCTCTCGCCATAATCGGCTCTTTTAAGAACCCCCGCTGAAATCCCCCGCGCGCTTATACGCGTTGGCGTTGGCGTTGGCGTTAACGCTGGCGTTTAGCGTCAGCGTTAGCGTTAGCGTTGGCGTCAGCGAAGCACATGACGCGCTCCCAGGTTAATATACTCCAGCGCAGAATAACTTTAATAAAAACGCCCGCGACTTACCACGTGTAACGATACGGACGAAACATTAACTATGGAAATATTGATATGGGGCAGAAGGGAGGGTGGAGTTAGGACGAAGGAGAGGAAGAAGGGCAACGACTGATAATGGGATACATCTGTACAGTCAGGCGGTGCGTTTTATCGCCATATTACCGTTAACGAAGAAATGGTATTTTCGCGTTAAGTGCGGCCAATATTGCGCGCGCGCATGATTCGATTACTCTCACGCGATGTGCAGTTTAATAAATGTGCGCGCGATGTAGTGCAAAAAAGATATATATGTATATATACATATATCGGCGAAGCAATTAACTAACGTGGAATATAAGGCGCATTAAAATATATATATAACCTGTAATTATAATTTCAATATCGACCATGGAGTAGCAATTTTATATAAATCCGATACGTGCGCGCTCACGCGCACGAAGGAGCGGTATCCGAGAGATAGATAGATATTCAACAGAGGTAGATAAAGGGAGAAAGAGAGAGAGAGAGAGAGAGAGAGAGAGAGAGAGGGGGGGGCGGGGGCGTTAATATAAAAAAATCCAATATAATGTAAAATTAATAGCCGAATGTAATCCCGGGAGGCTCGCGCTTAAAATTACACGCGCTTGCGCGTGGGATATATCCACTCGCTGTTAATCGTGAGTTAACAAGCGCTAAAGCGCGTTATTACGCTCGGCTGTTGCAGGTGTCGCCGGACGGCAACATGACGAGCTCCACCTTGACGATTCAGCCGACTCTGGAGCATCACGACAAAGTTATCATGTGCAGGGCCGAGAATCCCAAGGTCCAGCACGGCGTGGCGAAAGACACGTGGACGCTCAACGTATTTTGTGAGTAGCCGAGAAATTGTCGCGATTTCTCGCGAGCCTAGCTCGTGAGCCGCCCGTAAATTACGCCCGTTTCTCATATCCGTCCGTCGGTATGGCGATACGATATCGCGGAATTACTCGCTTCCGGGGGATCACGCGAAATCGCAGCCTGTGCAGGAAGCGCGCGTAAAATTGAAACAAGCACGACGATGTCAGATCGCGCGAGGCTGAGGTGGATCGCGTGTTTATATGCTAATAATGACGTATGAGCGTGAATATTATTATCTGCGATATCATTATTCATTAGCGCGCCGTCACCGTCAATATTACGCGAGCGGTCGCGGCATGCCCGCGATCCGACGCGAGTATTTACGCGGTAATAACGCGCGGCCGACCGTTTCGCTCTCTTTTACGCCGATTGCGCGATAAAAAGCGAGTGAAAGAGTGTTCCTACGCGTGATGATAAACGGCGAAGAGCCACTCGTGCCTTTTATTTTTATTCTCTCCGCCGCCCGCGCGTGTTGCGCGATATCAAAGTCCGCGGGAGTAAACGATTCCGCCGAACGTAAAATCGTGCTCGCACTGCGAGCGGCGTTCCGTCTCCTTATCCCGGCGGAAGTTTCACTCGAACGCTGTAAATCTTGAGAGAGATTCTCCACGCCGCTTTCCCTCCTGAGAGCGTTGTTGCCCACTAATAAGCCGGATTATCCGATCGGAGCCCGCGAGCATCAATTACAAAGTTAATGGGGACAATTAACGCGACAGCCAAATTTCGGCCGGCTTGGGGAAATCCTGCCGTGAGTAATTTTTCGTTATCGCGCACGGACTAGACTGGTCACCAATTTTCGGGATCAGATCGCCGAATATCTCTCCGCGGAGGGCCTTTCTTCCCGCGACAATTCCCGGATTGTGAGCGACAGGTAACCGCTGTTGTGAACTCGCCTTCGGTAACTCAGCTTCGGGGTGCTACAAAAACGCACGCCCGTCGCGCAGCCGTTCGGCCGCATAAAAACGAATTGACGCTAATTCGTCGAGCTTTAACTCATAAGCGCGCGCGTCGCGTGTGTGTCAGCTTTCGCGCAATCGACACATCGGGAAATCCGCGTGCGCAGCATATGTCAACGCGCGTGCGCGCGCGCGCGCATATGCGATGCCGCCCAACACATCCGTACGCGCTCTTGTGTCCGCGTGTATATCGAGCGTGCTAAACGGGTTAAAAGCCTGGCAGGCCGAAACAAGGCCGTCGATATAGATTACGCTCGCGCAAACGCGAATGTAATCACAATAACGAGACGTCAACGGCGGGAGCCAAAATGGAACGTCCGGCGCGTCGCGTCGCGTCGCGTCGCGTCGCGTCGCGTCGACGGCGGCGGCAGCGGCGCCGATTGTCGGCTCGATTTATTCAGCCGTGCCGACGGCAAACGGAAGACCCCGCTCCGTCTGCGAAGCATGACATGGCGAATAATCGCGCGCCTTTCCTCGTCTTTTACAGTCGTGCCGATCTTGACCCTGCAACTCGGCACCAACATGAACCCGGACGACATCGAGGAGGGCGACGACGTGTACTTCGAGTGTAAGGTTCAGGCGAACCCGGACGCTTACAAGGTCGTGTGGAAGCACAACGTGAGTATCACTCGAGATCGTCGCGCGAATGTTCCGAGGGGTGATTGAGACTTGGGAAGAAGGGCTGGCAGATCCCGGACCATCTCCGGATTCCGTTTTCCGTTCGTGCGCACAGAGTGGGGTAAATGTCGAACAACACGCTGTCGGGGAAACGGAGCGACGCGACACGCGGCGAAATTTCGCGTAACAAATGGATCCGCGTGCAAAAATGTGCCTGTTCGAATCGGGACGGGGGAAGGTGAGGTGAAGAGATGAAGGGGCGAGGGAGGGGAGGGGGGGGCGAAGCTCAAGCTTGAATTTGAACAATGGCCCCCTGGATTTTCTCGGCTGATGTATATTCCGCAGCCGGATAGTTCCGACTCCGCTCGCCCCCGAAACTCGCGCTTCTCCGAGCCGAGTAATGGCCGTTGCAGGTCGAAACCGACAAATAGGGAACAAACTTTCCATGCGGCTCGCGCGCGCGTGCCACTATCTCCCTAAATATCAGCCCAACTTGCGAACCGTGCAGCAGTAGCAGCAACAACAGCAACAGCAGCAATAGCAACGCGTCCATTCTCGCGGCGCGCAAACGTAAGAAAATCGCGCAGGATAACTCCTCCTGACGTAATCTCGAGATTCGCTCTCGTGCGAGAGAGATCAGCTCGTCTTTTAATTAAATTTACATTTTATGCGCTGAGAGAGAAGAAGAGAGAGAGAGAGAGAGAGAGAGAGAGAGAGAGAGAGAGAGAGAGAGAGAGAGAGAGAGAGAGACAGCCGCTCGGAAACACTGCGTCAGCGTCGGCTTTGCTCATCGTTGCTCATTACACGTGAACACGTGGAGAGAGAGAGAGAGAGAGAGAGAAAGAAAGAGAGAGAGAGGGGGGGGGGAGGGGAGAGAGAAAACGCTCGATTTTTGAAAGTAACTTTTGATCCTTCACCTCGTCCGTGATTTATTTCCGCTCGACATGCTCGTCGTGGATCTCATTATACATCGTTTCTCTCCCGGGCTTTTCGTCGACAACGAGTACACGTTTCTTCGCGTTTCGCATCCCCTACCTGCCTAACAACCTGTCTGTCTACCGACCGGCGTCATTATGTTTCATATCGTTTAATACAGTGCGTTATTATATCGCTAGGCGTCCATAAATGCCTTGTATGAATACGCGGAATGTCCGACTTTATGGCGACGTCATTGGCGTGGCAGTTAATTAACGCGATATTAATAAAACCCCATTTAATTAGGTAAAATCCGGCACGCGCGCGCAGCATCGGATGAAAGCCACCTATCGCTATCGCATGGCTGTTCCCAGCACCTCCAGTGTGAATTTTAACCGCGGCCGAGATACAGCCGTTTGCGTTACAGATCACTCTCTCTCTCTCTCTCTCTGCGCGTCGACTGCGATCGTGCCGCTCTCCCGGTGGACTCGCGATAATCGTTTCATCGGAGTAATCACGATATCCGTATGAGCACGTCGGTCGCGAGATTTACGAATTTTCGACCAGGGCGATCTGGAGAGCACACATTACCATATAGATCAGAAGTAACGAGAGTGTGAGGGGGCAGGTAATGCTCATGAGAGGCGCAGAGACAAGCGCGAAACAAGAGACTCGTGTGAACCGATCTAATCTTGAGTGCGCGAAATGTTCTGTTTCAGGGGAACGTGATTCAGAATAACGCGAAAAACGGCGTGATCGTCCAGCAGTACGGGCTGGCGCTGCGAGAAGTGAATCGGTCGCAGGCCGGAAATTACACCTGCGTCGCCAGCAACGTCGAGGGCGACGGCTACAGCAACATCGTGGAGCTCAAGATCATGTGTGAGTATCTTGGCGACGACGGCGGTTAAGATCGCCGCTATAAAATATGTCCCGAACGTCCCTTCCCTCATCGAGATGCCAGCGATCGGCCGACCGAAGGACGACCGACTTGACATATTCGTTGAGGAAAGACGAGGGCGAGAGAAAGAGTTTCCCTCGAACGAACGAACATCGCTGCGCAAATCTGCCGTAGTTCGGTGGCCGCCGCCGTCGCGTCGCTTGGAAAATAATGCCGCTCGGTTCTTCTTCGTCCGCTTCGTTCTCTTTGTAGAGCCAAGCTCGATTACCCTGTTTTCCGGGCGGGATCCCCGCAATTATTTCGCCCGTCAAAGCGGTGCTCAACGTTGCGAATATTCCAACATAATACGATGTAAACGACACAGCCTGGCGTGTGACCGATGAGTGACATTTCAACGGTGACGTTGTATCAAGTGCTTTCGAGGTGGCTTTTGAGAATCGCTCTCCCACCCCCGACGGGCCCGACGGGTAATTGGTCGCCCGGTTTATGGCCCGGCTTCGAGGAAATATTATTCGTGAATATACGTCTCTCGAGTATCAAAATGTCGGCATGATTATTCATTAAAAACACGTTGAAAGGGCAAAGGGGCGTGGAGAGCGAAGGGCGGAACGGGGCGCGGCGGCCAGTGGGGAGGGCAGCGGAAGAAAAATAGGACGATCCACGGCGAACCAACAAATTATTCCGAACCGGCGAACTCCGATTCCCCCAAACTCCCCCCCCCCCCTCCTCCCGCCGGCTTCAGCCTTCGTTTACCCACTCCGCCGCGAAAAATGGGAAAACTATTCAAGCGAGCGAGCGAATAATGCCCATCGATCTTCCCTCGGAAAGCCGGCCGCCAGGCCGGTGGTCATTCCACTTCATGCTACGCGCGCGCGCACCACCCCCTCGCACTTTTTAATAAATGCGCGTAAACTCCTCCGCTAGCAATCTGCATGCCTATCATCGCCTGCGCGCGTGCTCTGCGGCACCTCTTCCCGCCTGCTGTGTACTACGTGGCAACCAGCTGTTGGTCCCCTTTTTTTTTTTATTCACCGCCGGCGACAGCACCGATTCTCGCGGCTCATTTTCCGCGGATCGCGAGCAAGCGAGGACGTTTATTATTAATTAACTCGGTTGCAGACGCGCGCGCGTGTGTGTGTGTGTGTGTGCGCCTGCCCGGTGACACGCGTCAACTGGCCTTCTTCTTTCTCGATATTTCACTCTGACGTTGAAATTCGCGATTTAAGCGGTGTCCCACGTGCCAACGCGCTCGACAAACGACGCGAACTCGGAGAGGGAGAGGGGGAAGAGGAGAGAGAGTGAGCACGGTGAATTTATTCGAGATAATTTTCACGAGCACCTCCTGTTTCGGCGGAAATGCGCGACGACGCAACGGCGTTCCTTCCCGACACACAATCCGCTCTCTCGACGCAACATATCAACGCGCACGACTCGCTCCTCAATTAACCTCTTCAGAAACGAATCCACTGCGACGAAAATGCGACGAAAAAAGGAAATTTAATGTGACGTAAATACAACGTCTGTCAATCGCGCGACGAGACCCTCTCTCTTGCGTAGGATTTTCTGGCAGAATACTTACTCACCGTACCGTTCGTAGTAATTTTGTCGGTAGCGTTTTCAAGTGAAATCGAACGTATCCAAAAGTACATACACACGCGTCGATAACACTGAAGGGGTTGACAAATCCTACAGAGTGGTCGCGCACTGCTGCCCGCGGAACTCTGCCAATGTCGGCAGCGATCCGAGCACCGGAACGAAGCCGCCCCTCACCCCCCCCCCGTCTATCTCGATTTTTTCACGTTGCCCTCATGCTTTTCTTTTTTGCTCTTTCCCGTCGCTTCCGCAGACAAACCGATCTGCGTGCCGGAGCAGAAGCGGATCTACGGGGTGGCGAGGCACGAGGACGCTCGCGTGATATGCCGGGTCGAGGCGTATCCACCGCCCGAGAGCTTCCGCTGGGCCTTCAACAATACCGAGGAGATGGTCGACGTGCCGCAAGCGCGCTACAAGAACTCGACCAGACACACTCAGAGCGTCCTCACATACCGACCGGTCACGGAAATGGACTACGGCACCGTGCTCTGCTGGGCAAGCAACACGGCCGGCCAGCAGAAGAATGCCTGCATATTTCACATCATTCCTGCGGGTATGTACAAACGCGCAACGATCCGCGCGTACCGGCGGGCTAATACCCGGCGGGTAGCTCTCCTCTCTCTCTCTCTCTCTCTCTCTCTCTCTCTACGTGAGTCGCTAAGGATTTCCGGGAAAAGTTACGGAAGTGTTGTCCACGGGTATGCCCGCCTGTGTGCGCATATAGACGCGTGTATACGCGCGGCGAGGAGTGTCGCGTAGCGTTAACGCCAAGTTTAACGCTGACGCGAACGCCAACGCCGGCCGCGGGCCGCCGACCGGTTTAACGTTGGCGCGCGCACGCGTCATCCGGCCCGCGTCCTAAATCAGCATCCTGCGAATAATTTTCGTACAGCGTGTATACACGACGCCGTGAGATAGATAGAGGGGACGGGAGGGCCAGGGAGATTGTAAACAATGTTAATGGCGCGTGCAGGCAAACCGGAAGCTCCGTACAACTGCACGCTGACCAACCAGACCACCGAATCGCTCTCGGTGGAATGCACCGCTGGTTTTGACGGTGGTCAACCCCAACACTTCCTTCTTGAAGTATACGATCAGCACACGGGAGTCCTACAGGCCAACGTCACGTCCAGAGAGAACGCGGCTTTCACCGTGCAGGACCTCGAACCCGGCAAGGTTCTGAATATGATACTCTACGCGGTGAACGCTAAGGGTAGGAGCGACCCCACGCTGTTGGAAGGTTTCACGCTCAAAGTCGCCGAGAAGCAGACCGGTAAGTTGTGCCAGAAACATTGGCGTCGCGGAGATTCGTCGCGGAGACTCACACGGCGAGAAGCATTTGCGGAAATTGCACGGCGGGCTCTCCTTATGCCGCGCGTCTCGCTCTCTCGGCGAAGTCGGATCGACTTCGCGCGGAACTTTCGTCGCGGGTGAATTTTCGCGAGACGTTACACCGCGAAAATTGCGAAAATCCTAACACTCGCGACGCGGGAACATCGACGACGGCGCGACGAGATTTGTCGGGAGAATTCTCTCTCTCTCTCTCTCTCTCTCTCTCTCTCTCTCTCTCTCTCTCTCGCTCTCTCTCTCTCTCTCTCTCTCTCTCCCCCCCCCTCTCTCTCTCTCTCTCTCTCTCGGCTCCATCGCAACGAAATATTACGCAAACAACGTCATACGGAATCGACCGCTAATGATGATCGACAACGTCCAGGTCAGACCGACGTGATCGGTCTCGCTCTCCTGACGCGCGCTTGGGCATGCTCAATCGATCGATCGCATTCGCGCGAGTGGCCGAAATAAGTAATTCGATGGTGAGCCGTGCACGTTCGCCAGCTATCGGCGCAAATCGGCCGGTCCATAAATTATGAGAGTAGCCGGGACGCCGGGTTAATCGAATTAGCGAATTAAATCGAACGGACCTGCGCGGATTGTCCGTGTAACGTTTTAATCCGCTCATTCGACCGGGAATCCCCGACGAGCTCGATATACTACCTCATCGTTTCTCGCGGCTAAAGAGCACTTGGGCTATACGGAAGGTTTCACCGCGAAAATTGAGCATCTGGATCGAGAAATTCAATCGACGACACACGTACAACGCGCGCGCGCGCGCGCGCGAAGCCGATATGTGTAGGTCCGCAGGCTCACCTGTGCCGGGTATTACGCAGCTTGATGTCCAGGTCATGTGCGCATGTGTGTGTGTGTGTGTGTGTGTCTAAGTGTGTGAGTGCGAGCATACGGGTAGATGTGGGTGATTGTTCTACGGAACAGAGCCGCCGCGAGTAGTAATCTATTCCGACGTTTTCCAATCCACTTACACGAAACGGTTCCGGCCAAAAATTGCACACTGCGGTTCCGCCGGTGCGTAAAACGTTACGGGCCCAGATTTTTCCCGGCTCGGTCAGGATCCCCGGCCGCGCGCGGATCACCGGTCGCTCCTCGAAAAATACGAACGTCGACGTGGCTCGTTTAACCGGTGCCTCAGCTTATTTTCTCGATCCGATGCTCCCGTCGTGCCGCAACGAGCTGTGGCAAGCGTTAGAAGAGAGACTCAAGGCGGAGGGTAGAGAGGGTGGCAGGCAGCAAGGAAGAGGGAAATCGTGTCTTGCTAAGGACGGAGAGAAATTTCATCCCGGACGGAGGAGGAAATATTTGCAAAGCGCCAGTCAGAGACAGGTATATCGCGAGCAATTACGAGAATTAATCCCGCCGTCCACCTGTAATTGCGAAAGCGGGAAAGATCTACGAGCGAGACGCGGAACTCTCTCGGTTTTCCCGCGAGCGATATAACGCTTCGTGCGCGCGCTCTGTGTTAATATGCTGCTGAAAGAAGCGGAGGGGGGAGGGAGGCGGGGAAGGAGAGGAAGGAAGGACGTGATACACAATTGCCTGTAAAAACGCCAAATATTGATACAAGCTCGCAACGAAACTCTTCATCTACGCCGCCGACGTCGTCCTCTCCTCCTCGACGCCTCCTTCGCGAAAATTTACGCACTTTTGTGTCCTATTTGTGTTCGAGTTCGAAAACTCACGGTAAGACGAGCTTTCAGCGGCCGCGTTATATTTTCCACCACGAGCGCTTGTAAGAAGAAACGCAGGCCAAACGGCGGAATTACCGTGGCGTGAACGCGATCGAGAGTCCTGGCGATCTGCAGATACCCGGGAACGGATCTCGTCGAATCCATCCTTTTCCTGCGCACTCATCTCGTAGATTTCTAGCTGGCGAGATCTCCACCGACTAGGAGAGATTCAGGATCCACCTCGGAACGGATATACCGATCTACCTATCCGAGCGTACACGTGCACACCTACGTACCTACGCGCTCACATTTACGTACTCATGCGCATATGTATTACGCGTGTGTATGTATATGTGTGTGTGTGTGTGTATATATATCAGACTAGGACGAATTTACAAGTAAAATTGCTCTCTCGGTCAGTTTCCACGGTGCGACTCAGGACGAGTGCACCCACCGCGCGCGCGCCACGTATATGTACACGCTTAGTCCCCCGCGCGCGCGGGGGTGTATAAACCGGTATACGTATGCGAGCGAAGTAGTCGCTTCGAAAATCGATCCCTCTCTTGCCGCGTGAGAGAGAGAGAGAGAGAGAGCTCGACGCGAGTGTGAAACTTTAATAAAATTCCCGGACCACCTACTACATCGCCCGCGTGCACCATCGTGCGCCTCGTCTCACCTCGAAGCTCGTTCGGACGGGCTGAGAGAGCGAAGCGTGCGCCGCAGAAAGCGCGGAGGAGAGAGGAGTGTCCGCCGCTTCGATTCCACGGACGACCCCCGACCTCGCGCGCGCGGCTGTGCTAACTAGAGCAGGACAGGAGAACGTGCTCCTGAAATCTCGGCTCGACATCCCTCGGCGAACCCGATTCGTCGCCGCGGCGGCGTGAAACGCAAATTATACATAGCGAATGTGTGCGCGTTTTATGTATGTGTGTGTGTGTGTGTGTGTGTGTGTGTGTACGTGAGGGCGACTCGAGACCGCGAACGAGCCGCGAACGACTCTCTTCTCTGTCTCCTCTCTCTCTCTCTCTCTCTCTTTCTCTCTCTCTCTCTCTCTCTCTCTCTCTCTCTCTCTCTCTCTCTCTCTCTCTCTCTCTCTCTCTCTCTCTCTCTCTCTCGCGAATCAAACGCGGCCGCACGAGGTATAAATATCGAAGAACCGAATGTACACACGGAGAAAACCCGAATTAAAACTTCCGTTTTTAATTCGATCGATGCGCAGTGAGAAAAAAATTGGAAAGAAGGGGAGAAAGAGGGAGAGGAAAAATCCGCACCAAGAGACAGAGGCGTGCTCGAGCACCGAATTTTGTGCGATGTGATGCAGAGGTACTTCTGGTTCGCAGCTATAGCCCGGTGCGCGTCGCGCGTGCTATTCGATAAATATTGTCGACGCGAGCGTGCATTAAAAGTTCTCTGCCGCGTCGCGAAAAATAAACATGGTTTGGTACGAGACAAAATATAATTTGTTCCATATGTATGCGATATTATCGATACTCGGTGTAACGTGATACTTCTGTTTGTAACTAGTCGAGTATGATTTTGTAAAACGATTATCATCACAGGGAGTCAGATATCCAGGGAGCAAGAGAAAGAGAGAGGGAGAGAACAGCGCTCGGACACTGTGAATGAAACGCGTCCTGCGAATTAAAAATAACGATTTAATCAAGTTGGGCTTTTCGAATCGACCTTCGTCCAATTTCCACGTAGAAAAATCGCGATGATGAATGATGGCGGGGCAGATAAATGCGCCAACAACGAGCGTCGCTCTGGTTATCATTTTCTCTTTCCGCGGACCCGTGATCTAACCACGTCCGTTAATTACCGAGGAAGAGGAGAACGACCGTAATCGTGAGACAAGATTGACGATTCCGTCTCGTAGTTGCGCATTTTTACTTTGTCTACAACTTTGAACTTAGACTTTCACGATCGACAAAGAACTTTATATTCTCGTTCAACGCACTACTAGAAGCAAGTCCCAGATGCCAAAGATTTGCGAAATTTAACAATTCTTTAAGAGAGAGAGAGAGGGAGAGGGAGAGGGAGGGAGAGAGAGAGAGAGAGAGAGAGAGAGAGAGAGAGAGAGAGAGAGAGAGAGACAGAGACAGACAGAGACAGACAGAGACAGAGACAGAGACAGAACAACCCGAAGATGAAGGGGAACGTCGGGCGAAAAAGAGCGTCACTAAAAAAAAAATTGACCAGTTTAAAAGGATAGTTTAAAAAGCGTAGGTGACGAAGGAAGGTAGAGATAGCAGGTGAATATCACGAGCACCGGTGCACTTTCGCCTTGATTAAAAATTAACGTACACTTTGGCTGTGCATCGGAGCACGGAGTAAAAACACTCGGTCGCTCGTGACTAAAACGAGTGGCAATTACGAGCGATGTCTCTCAGGAGAGGCCCGGGCTAAGGAAAGAGATTAAAAAACGGGGACGGCGGAACGATAGCGAGCGGCGCGCGAGTGCACGAGCGCGCGAGAGAGCCCGACGGAGAGCAAAGACGGAGCGCGCGCGCGGGAGGAAGACGGTCGCGCGGAAAATTAAACGTCGCCCGGGACGGTGTTTAACGTGGAGAGATATCAAAAGGATTCGAATTCATTAATCTTAGAAATGGCCCGGATAGTCAGATGGCTCCATTCTCGCGCGCGCAAGCCAAATATCTTGAATCTTTTTACGACGTAATGCGACTTTAACTCGTTTAACCCGTTTACTCTCGCAGCCCGCTTGGAAAATTCCGTCGTCGCGTATCTCTCCGTCGCGGCAGGAGTGCAGCAGCAGCTGCAGCTGCTGCTGCTGCTGATGATTTCGCGCGCACCGCGACAGACGTTCGTCGTGGTAGACGGACTCGGTATACGCGACTACGTCTTCATGCTGCGGCAGCACCGATTTTATCACCAACACCCCAAACAAATGGGCTCCGCTGCAATTTGATTTCCGTGGAAATTTTTCCGCTCGTGTGTCGCGCTCGACGGCCACCGCAGCGACGAGACTTTCACCGACGTACTTGCACGAGAGCAGTGCGCGTTTTGTTCACAGGTACCCCGGTACCTTTCGAGTTCACCCCGCTACTCGGAGGTTTGATCGGCGTGGTGACCGCTCTGCTGCTCGTCACAGTCACCATTCTGGCCGCACTGAAAATGCGGAGCGAGAGGCGAGCTCAAAGGCCCGGAGATTTACCTCTGAAGAAGGCCACCGCGCCGAGTTCCGAGGACCTTTACGACGCGGACGACAGGAATCCGGATGTCGTGCCAACCAACAAAGGTGCGTCCGGCAAGACCGACTTCTTTTTTGCGCGCGAGCGCGTGTGAGCACAGAGGAGGACGTGGAGATTGATGGAGAGGAGGGAAACGATACGAGAAAAATAAGCGCGAGAATCGATGCACATCGATGTCCAAAGAGAATTTCCGAAAAAAAGTTAGACAATCGCGTCGGAATAAAATCCCGTTCCGGCCGCGTCATTCCTGCGATTTTCCGCGTTCGATCGCCGAACGTGGTGTTTTCGCGTCGTTCGACGGGAACTTTAAACCGGCGGGAAATGCGTAAATAAATAAATAAAACAAAATAGAGAAAAAAAAAATCCGAAAACTCCATCGGACATACGGCATAACATATCCGACTGCGAAGCGTACGGTTGGGAAAATTCGGACAATGTACGAAATTATTTGACCGCGTAAATCGTACGGTAACGCAACGTCGCTGCTGCACGAATAACGCCGCGTGTGTGCGCGCGCGGCCGATATGTCGATCGACATACTCGCGCGCGCGCTCGTCCTGAAAATTTCGACGGACACGCTACGCATCCTACAAGGACGGGCGCGCAGCGCGAACATACGCCACTCCAGCTTGTGACGATGCGAAATCACGTCGCGGTCGCACGAAAACAAATTCCGTATTTTCATCGAACGAAAGTTTCCGGAGCGGTGAGGACGCGCGCGCGCGCGCGCGCAACTCCGTCGATTTTTTCCACGGGAAACCTTCTTGCGAGTGCCGCGACACACCGCGGTACAAATCACGAATAATCGGCGGGGCGAGGGGGGAGGGGGGAGGGGGATGTTCGGGGAAATCGCGTGCGTTCGAACGAGAGCGTGTTCTATTTACGTAAAAGGCTAAAAAGAGGAAGGAAGGGAGATCGACAAGGTTAACGTGACGATTCCGGGGTCGCGTGGGGAACGATCGGCTCGACGTGGAAATTTTATCAGCTACATTGGCCGTCGCGGCCGCCGGCTTTCAAGCGTAATACCTGATTGACAGCGATCAAGAACACTCAGTCGAGCGAGTGTACTCGAGACCGGAAATTCAGCGGACTCTATTGCGAGGGCAGCCGCGCGTTCGTTAACGGCATCGCGCAAACGCTCCGCTATGCTATGCGTCATTACGTCGTTCGCAATAATACCGTCGGCGGATCGGGGCGTTGGCGAATGTGAACGCGAACGCGGTTATCGAGGCGGGCAAGTGGAGGGAGGGCCGACGTACAGAGGAACTTAACCCGCAACTTGTTAATAAATTACTCGGCCGATTACCAGGCGGACTTGTTCATCGGACTCGCCATTGCGAATTCGATACGTATCCGCAACACAACGTTCTAATGGTCGCGCGAGCGGGATCGCGCGCGCGTCGAGTGGCCTTTGCCATTTGTAATCCAGAAGGTCGTGACAGTTCTGTGACCAAAAATCAGGCAAATAATTCTCTATTTCTTTTCTGCCTCTTTCATCGCAAAATAATGTATTTGTCTCTATCAGTGACTAAGTAACTTGATCGGAGAAATAAATTAGTAAGTCAACTTGTTAAGTCAATTTGCGCAAAGTTGGTTCTATTGGAAAGCTTGAACGTTTAAATATAAGTTTCATTTACTTCGAACACAAAATGTAGAGCAAGAATACTACGATTACTTAAAATATAAGAAGCTCGTATTAGCAGATTGGATCGAGGAAAACAGTTGCGATTCAGTCACTAACTGAGACATTCGTCTCGAATTTATCCTTTGTTGTAGCTTATTTACAGACGCGTGTCTTTCCGAGGTTTTATTTCTCACAGTAGCGTACCGTAAAAAGATGCATCTGTGAGAGAGAGAGAAACGATGTATTATCAGACGGGCATCACATTTTCTCGCAAATTATCGAGTCTGCTATTCGTTCATATCCAAATCCGAAAGCGGATTAATATGTACATATATGTACATATATAAACGACTTGATAATACGGAAATGTTAATTTAATAAATAAAATTACTCGACTACATTACTTAGTTAATTATTTGATCACGATCGGAACTAAATGGTTAATAGCGACTTACTATTTAATCCACATATCGCATCAACACCTCCATTCTGTTAACGAATCGAGCCGCGTAATCCATGCATTCGTAATGCTCTGTAGTTACCAGTTCAAAGTATATAAAGCTCGCCGCGTCGGTTCGATATATATTAATGATTAGATCGCTTTAATGGCATAAATAAGTACTCGTTGCGCGCGTTTCGCGGTTTTCTCCCGATGAATAATGTAGAATCAGACGAAAGAGCGCGGCGTGACACTTAATTAATTTTCAATGAAATAAATATCTCACGCGTCTCCCTCGTGTTTTCACCGCGTCGTTTGAAAAGCTCGTGCCCACGCGCGAAATAAGCTGCCTTCAATAATTAGTGTCTCTCGGGCGGAGAGAAAAAAAATAACACGATCGCGCGAAAAAAACGGGCACGAGGTTTTCGCGAATAGCTCGCCTCGTTATCTCGGGGGAAAAAGATGGACGGAAATGTTTCACGAGTGCACGAAACGAAAGATTCAGATTACCAGCTGACCGGGTCAACGTCCGGCACGCCGTTAGCGACGCAAAACACACCGGACGGTCTTCCGCCGTCGTCCCTTCCGGTCCAGCAGACGAACAATCACCTACAAGGACTTCCCGCCTATTCGCATAACGACTACAACAATTACCCGACCTTGCCGGTGAGTACCGCGAGAGCGGAGATTCCGCTAATGAAATTTATTAATTTCCCCAGCTCTGACCGCGACGCAGAGAACAAGCGGCCGAGCAAACGTTGATTTTTATCACTCCCGAGCTGCTCGCTCTCTCTCTCTCTCTCTTTCTCTCTCTCTCTCTCTCTCTCTCTCTCTCTCTCTCTCTCTCTCTCTCTCTCTCTCTCTCTCTCTGTCTGTCTTTTTCCCTTTCTCTTTTTATATTCTCTCCTCCCTTCCTCTCCCTCGTTGTTATCCGTTAATTTTGCGTGATATTTATGACTTTTGTATGTAATTTTATTATACTTGTAATTATTTTTAATAAATTGTCGCACACACGTGGCGACTGCTTTCTTATTTCCAATTTGATTTCCAATTTGTTTCTGATATTAATTGATGGCGATTAATGGGGGATTGTTGGTTAACACAATATCTTTATACTTGGGTAACACGTAGAAACGCTGAATGATATGTTGTATGAAATACTTTAGGGACGAATAATTGTCGCGCACACGCAGGAGGCAATTCTCCGACGAACCAACAATTCCCCTTAGGTTCCTTGTTAAATTATACTTTGTTGCCCCGCACACGGTACACTCGTGGCGTGTATACACACACACACACACACATACACACATAATACATATGTGCATACACAGTCGACGGGCACAGCCATTACATGTAAATGGGTGCGCTCTGATTTCACGAAACGTAAGTGAATGCAGTACGTTGGCATTCGCAGCAAAGAGGAATTCAAACAATTAAAGTCGATGGTTTAAATCACGAGAATTTCGTTAGTCCGGCGGGCGCGGGCGCGCGCGCGCGCGCGCGCGAGAGAGAGAGAGGGGGCATGTTTTAATAAAGTTAATAGGTTCATCCAAGGAGATGGGAAGCTGAGGAAGTGTAGTGCAAAGAAACGAAAGCGAGGCGGTAGCAGCAGCCGGGCGAATCGCGCTCTCGTTGTTACTGTCGCGTCGTTCCCTTTTCCTTTCGTGCTCCGTGAGAGAAGCTCGAAGGGCTAACGTTTTCCACAGAAAGTCCACGAGCGGTGTAGTTTGAAATAACAGTATCCGTACGACGGAGGTTGGCAGCGGCAACCACCGTCGCCGCGCACTGCGTAAAGTTTCAACCGGAAAGCAACGCTTCTCTGTAGTTCGAAAGTAGAAAATTGCGCTGTCCGCGTCTTCTGTTACGATTTTGCGAGACATTCTCCGAGATCGATCTCGGCGAGATTCTAACGTTAACGTAACGCGCGCGGGAACCGCGCTTTTCCGAACGTCACGATTTTATTCTCCGCCGCGGGGAGCGATTGTATTTTCCGGCGATGATTATCGGCGATTGATATTCGGGATACGCTTGAGCGAATTTTACGAGCTCGCGATTCGCTTCGCGACAAACACGCCCGTCGAATTAAAACGCGCCCTCTTTTGTTACCCTCCGCGCGAGGTAGCCTCTTTCAGATTTTCCCCAATCCTCTCGAGCTCCTTTCGTCACGAGCCACTGAAACTTCACCCTCAATTTCACACCAAATTAATTGCTAATTACTGCGGGAATCTGAAGCTCCGTTAGCGAAACCTCGGCAAGAACAAAACTCCGGAGTGGAAAACTTTGATTATCGCTAAGGATTTTCCTATTCCATTTACTTGCGGTTCGGTTAATTGTTGCGCTTTTTCTCCCCCTCTCTCTCTCTCTCTCTCTCTCTTTCTCTCTTCCTTTCGTTTCATTTTTTCTTTTTTGCAATTCCTCGTTATGTCGATTTTTCCGTTGGATTTGGTAGATTCTTCCAGAATTCGACAGTCAGTGACGGCAAACGCCACTAGCTTTTACCATTTCTCGCGAGCTCAAGTACTCGCCCGAGATTCGTCGGAGTTTAGTAAAGTTTAAGCAAAACAGGCAAGGAGTATGCTAAAGAGAAACAAGCAAAGAGAAGGAAAGGAAGAAAGGGACAGAGAGAGAAGAGGGAAAAATATAAGCAACTTAATGAGACGCGGTCGGGAAAGTTCCGTTCTATTCGCACCCGTGGAGCGTGAATCTACGGGACTTGCATTCCGTGCCTCTTGCGTTAATCTATCTCAAGATAAAAGATCCTGCGCCCGGCAAGAGCCCGTCTCACCCACGCGACCGGTGGATCACGCCACCAAAGTGGATGACTCCGCGTCCTCCGCGTCGCGGGAGAACACTCCGTGCTGTTTTGCGTCTCCAATTTATAGGAAATGGCGCACACGGGCATCTCCGACGGCTGCCGTCCTCGTCCTAAACAGTCGAAGGAACTCCCGCCGTCAAAAGTTTCCGTGATACGAGCCAACTAGTCCCGGGCGGTCGGTCCCTCAGGAATATTCAGGAGTGAAAATTCCGAAAGTTAGACCTGTCCGTATTATCTAAGTCCCGGGGACTAGAGAGAAAACGTGCCCCCCTTCCTCCCCCGCGAAAACTACCTCCGCCGATTTCTTAGAAACGCTTCGGTCCTATCTTGGAGAAGTTGGCCGCGTCTCTCGGCTTCAAGCGGATTATTTAAATGCCGGCTGTGCACGTATATAACTGGCTTGCATTTACTTTAGCGGATTACGCTACGCGCGAGCGAGCACCCGCACGCAAACACGCACATATCTATAACTCAACACACGCTAATGTATCGAAATTAGCTTAATCTCCTGTTCCCCACGTGTCATTAGACATCCGGGCGGACTTGTTGCGTAACACACAGACGATTCGATCGATCGAAACAATACATGCGCTCAGTCCATAATCGGATTCGAGGCTCATGTAGGACTCAGCGATCATCGTACAATTCAATGAATCCCGTTCGGCTAGAGGCAGGCAGAAAGGAGCTCTCGCGCGGCCGCGCATTTCCGAACACTCACTCAGCTATTACAGATCCCTTCTCTTCGCGAAAGGCTTAATGACTTCATATTATCGACGAGAGAGAGAGAGAGAGAGAGAGAGAGAGAGAGAGCCTGTTGCTCGTATTACATCACCGCCACTAATACAAAATCAAATATCCCAGAAATCCGCGCAATTACATTCCGGGTTAACATTTTAGCGACTTAGTCAGTCTAAAGCTAGTAAACCTTGCCAATGATTACCGTTCCGGAATAAACAATCTCATGTCGTTGCAGCCCTCATGAGACAAAGAGGATAAAACAGAAAAGGGAGCGTCGCATCTTTGTCCTCGTCGTCGTCGTCGTCGTCGTGCGTGCGCACGTGTATGTATGTGTGTGTGTGTGTGTGTGTGTGTGTAGGTATGTTCTGATTCCTCTGAGATTTTAATAACTCTTCCAGAGCGTCCCAGACGGTTGGCTGCTCCCTTCCCTGCCTCTCGCGTCCGTTGCCGCGCTGCCGCGAACGGTCTTTGTGTAGCGTGTCCTGCTTTTCCTTCTTCCAGCTGTCCGGCGAGGTGACATACGCGGAACTGTGCCTGGCGAGGCCCACCACCCTGTCGACTCTGGCGACCGACGCCAAACTGGCGAGCCTCGGTGGAGTCGGCGGTCTGGGTGGTCTTCAGGGTTACGGCAGCGGCCTGGGGGTGATCGTAGGCGGCAAGCCGTATGCGAAAGAGGCGACGGTGTACGCGTGCATCGACCACAACGCAAGGCCGACCAAGGTGGATGTCTCTAACGCGCCGTCATGCGCGGCGACTCCCCTGTCGACGGCGAACGTGCTCCAGGACTCGACCGTGTCCACCATGAGCGGCGGCAAGCAGCACCATCCGGCGAGAGAGGTCGTCACCGTCCGCACGCCCCTCATCTCGACCCAGGAAAGTTGCGTATAGGGACGCGACTCCGACGCGCTCAACGTCAACGAGTACTATGTCTGATATGGCCGCCTCGTGGCGATCGTGCGCGTCCCAAAAGCAACGACGGATTCCCAGGACTCGTTACCGGAGCCGTTGTGGCTCCAAATAACGTCCTCGGCTTCTAGAAGAAGGATACGTCTGACCGGATGAACGTCGCGAGTTTCATTCCCGGATACGCGTGAGTGTCAAGCTTCGCGGAGTTCGCGCTGCGGAGAAAGAGAGACCCGCGGACTTTCGTCGAGGATGAAACTACTACTGTCACTGCTGCTGCTACTGCTGCCGCTACTACTACTACTAGTACTAATACCGTTTAAGGACGACAGTGTCCGAGACTCGTGTCGAGAGTCGCGAACGAACTTCCTGCGAATTGTGAATCGGACGGTGGGCGCGAATTACGACGCGGAGGACGCGATCGGACTGCCTGCCGCGCTTCGTTCAAGGATCCCGAAGATATACGCAATAAAACGACAGCTGAGACACGTCTCTGAGACAGGCCGCTCGCGAAGAAACGGCGTCTTCTGTCCTCTTCTGCGATCTTGCCGAATTGCAATACCGAAATGCAATACCGAAATGCGATGGCTTATGAAAATTCAAGACTGACCGAATCGCATCATTTTCAAGAATACATATCGAGAGATAACGATTCCAATGCCGACCAACACGCCACACATAGCAAACGCATAGCCCGCTCAATTCGGCGTTCCATTGTGTCTCGAATTTACGGCGAATACGGCCGACAAGATGCATTTTGTCATACGGAGATGAAAACCAGGTAAGAGACAAGACGCGAAAGTAGAGCGAGAGAAAGAAACACACTCGACAAGAACGAACCAATCGACCTTAAGCGAAAGTTTTCCGGGGAAAATGGGCTGTTTGTGAATTTCGGGAAAAATTCATAAAATTCTTTTTATATTCTATTAAAAATGCCTCGATCAAACTTACACACACACACACACACACACACACACACACCCACACACAGTACACATATCGTAACGCTCAAAATCGATCGAGAGCGTCGCAGAACTGCGAAACGAATTCGCCCGAGCACGAGAAGACCCCCGTGGCCGCGTAATCGTCCTGATTCGAGAAAGGAAGAGAGAATGCGGACGAGAGAGAGAGAGAGAGAGAGAGAGAGAGAATATCGGCTGAGACTCAGCGGATATATATAGTCGCGAAGGATCCACGTCGATTGACGGAACGGCCGATGAGGCGGAAGGAAACACGTCTAAAAACGTAGGTTTCCGCATTCCGCGGATGTTCGTAGCGCGCGCGCGGAGCGGCGAGATCGATGTACCTACTACGCGACTACGGTCGCGACGGTGAATGTAGATTTTCTATCCCGGGAGTATACTTTGTATTACAAAGTAGGTACCGGAGATAAAGGGAGATCGTCGCGCGTTGAGTGTATTTTCGTAGAATAGCGCGTCTTTATCGGCGGTATGCGCACTCGGGAGTGTCGTATCATGTCGATTACGTCGCATCAAGTGCAACGATCAATTCCGAGAGAGGAGAGCGAGAGGCGGATCCGCGCGCACGGAGGAGATCGACTTGTTCCGCGAAAATCCTCAAAATATCTCCGCCCGCCCCCGGGGCAGTTGCGCCACGACACGCGAGACTGCAACGTATAAAACACCGGCGACGCGCCGCGAAAATCCCGACGAGCAGATTTCTACGACGCGTCATTCTCATCGGACGCGTCCGCTTTGTCCTTTTGTCCTTCAGGGTCGCGTCGCGATTTCTTCTTTCGCTCCTCGTTTCCGAGCCTATCTATTTTCAATTTAAATTTTCGCCTTGAGGGCCTTTGCCGGGCGCGTGATTAATTACCAAGAAAATAACGAAATAATTAATCGATCGCGACGGCGAATGAAATAATTAATCGATCGGCCCGGTCTTTCCGCACGGGCACGCACGTGTAATTATAGGGCGGCGCTGGCGCGACACGTGCAAATTCCTCTGTGAGTATAAGTTAAAACTTGGAGCGTGTCGCGTCGATGTAAGCTGATTAATTAAACTTGAGCGTATCGACATTCAGGCCGACTTATTTAAGAGAGGAAGTGTTACCACAGCGCGCGGGAACTTACGAGGCGAGGGCAAATTTGCCGACTATAAAATAAGCAGAGACTATCGATCTTCTCCCGCGCGGTCCGACCGAAGTCGTTCTTTACTCTTCCATCGTTTTACATCTCTCTAGTCTATTTATACGGCTTTTCCTATCTGACGCGCGCGCTAACGCGCCGGAAGCGTTGCCCCGTCGGCGTGTTTCACGCACGCGTGCGGAACCGAACGAAACGCACGCGCGCTGCGCTGCGCTGCGCTGCGAAGCGACGCGACGCAACGCGCGCCAAACTTTCCTTCAAGATGAATACCTGACGATGTCCCGCGGTTACGCATGTGAGGACCTTGTAAATAGTGACTACTCGTCGTGCGCGAGGACACCGAATAAATTTAGATTAATTATCGAAATTACCGTGTGCGTTAATCGAGAGAGAGAGAGAGAGAGAGAGAGGTGGGACGAGTATGCTCTGCGCTTCGAAGATATGTATATTAATTAAACAAACGTACCTTGTACACTGCGCATCGTTCACTAGCGGCGAGCAACCACGCGTTATCTCCGTAATTAACTTTGCATTGAGTTCGATCGGAGGATAGTTTGCGACGGGATCGTCATTCGTACCGTGGAACAAAGACAATAACGTTGCAGCGTCGTTAAATGAAAAACGGCCCGCGCGAACGATCCGAGTTACATCGCACGGTGTTCCTCGAAACTTAATTCAAGCTTAAGCACTTTCTTTTTTTTTTCCTCTCTCTATCGGAATATCGGTAATAAGCAGTTTGAGTAACTCTCTGTTTTTTTCTTTTTTCTTTTTATTACTATTATCGGTTATTGATTTTCGCATTGTAAACAAGGCAAGTTCCTACTCGCAATCACGCGTATCATTAAATTATTAGAGAGGAAACGTCGCCGTCGAGACGGCTTGGATCGAAAATACGCTCGGAGAGATGATTTATTCCAATAATAGCGATAATAATTTTACGAATGCGGATCTCGCACGTGGGACCCCATCGTAGCTTCAATTCGCGGGCGACACTAAACGCGATATAATTCATCGTTTAGCGGCCGATTTATCTTCGCTTCCCACCGATCCCTTTACGAAACAGACTGACGTGACGTGCGTTATTTTACGACGAAATCCTCCGGACAAACCTGTGTCCCGGGACTGCCAAAACGCGCACAACTCCCTCACGACTGCCATGTCGCATTCATTTTCATTAAGTTCGTCGAGAAATAACGAAGAGCGATCGGAGAAGTAGTACCTTTCGTGCGTCGCCGTACGTTGTGCACCGTACAAATGTACACGCGCGTACATCTTACATATATATATATATATATATGTATATATATATATATATATATATCTCGGTCACCATAGCGTTTACGCGCAGCGGAGACAGTGTAAATATCCTGTATATAAGGACATCGAGAAAAGAGAGAGACTTTATTTGCGAGGGATGCCCGAGGTTAAACCCCTTACGTCTTCTTCGAAGGACGACGGAACAGGCACGAAGGATCGTTATCGACGGATCCGTTAACGGCATTACGAGGTACGTTCTACCAGGGAAATGTATTGAGCGATACCGTACCGGCGGTACACGCGAAAGGAGGAGGATAATGATCCTAGCGCGCGAATTCTCCTCCCTTTAAGTAGAGCCACTTGGAAATTTCGAGATTATTACGTCGCACGAGTCGTATCTTTTAATGTCTTCTTTAATCGCGACGATTATTACCTCTTTATTTTCGGTGCTTTGTACAGTTCCTTCTTTCCCGTCTCAATTCTCATTGATATTGAATGTTATTGACGTGCAACATAATCCGTTATCGACCACCGTCGTCGTCGTCGTCGTCGTCGTCATCGTCATCATCATCGGTCGACGAACGCGAAGAAAGTCGTGTGACGTGACGAGCGTTCCTTCGTGTACGCCCCCTTCGTAATTTGTAAGATATATGCTCCGATGTACAGCGCCGATATTTTTTCAGAGTGCGTAATACAATACCTCCGCGTATATCGTAAAGTCTCGGGTCGCCCAATTAGACGGGCCCGTTAAAAGGGCGGAACTGTATAATTAAACGATCGGATTGCGATTAATGGTCAGACAAAGAAATAAAGATATGTATATGTACGTGTACGTATGTGTATATGCACGTGTGTGCCTGCGCCTGTATGTGTGTGTGTGTGAGCGCAAAGATGCGAATCTATCTTTCACCGTATGCGTATGCGCATGTGTATATGTGTGTGTGTGTGTGTGTGTGTACATTTTGCGCGACTGCGGTAGCTCCGCTACCGAAAAACCTCAAAGATTCAAAGTAATAAAAAGGATAAAATAAAAATATATGTGTGTATGTACGAATGTGTGTGCGCTTTTCTTGCTGTCTCATGATTTCTCTCGTAAATTATTTCATTGCGGGGGAAACTATTTACATCCCGTAATGTTGATCTCAGGCGATTGGCAGTATCGGACGTCGAGTTCGTAATTTCGTTTCTCGCGCGAAAGCGTCTTCGATGGATAGCTGGATAGACAAACGAACGAATAGACAGAACCGACGAATCGGGATACAATTTATATTCGAATTATTTTCGTACACTAAAGTCGCGCTTTCCTTCGCGCTTTGTAGTCAGAGGTATGTCGCACGGTTATCTTTTCGGTAAGAGGATTCTTCAGAAATTCACGGAAGGGTTGAAACGAGACGCTCTTCTCTTTCTCTTACGCGGAAGCGTCCGCCGGCGCTCGAACGAGATCGAAGTGGACGAAGAAAAGAAAATTATTCCTCGAATGCTCCGCGATTGAATCCACGTAAGATCGATTTTCCCCCCATTTCACAAAAGAGTACTTCGGCTATATATTCCACCGCGGCCCGAACTGTTCTTTCCCTTCATATTGTGCCGCTTTCTTTCTCTCTCCCTCCCTCCCTCCCTACCTCCCTCCCTCCCTCCCTCCCTCCCTCTCTCTCGCAATATGCTTTAATATAAAATATTATCTTCCGCTCCCTCCTACCGCATAACGATACAATTTCCCTGCGTAATTACTACGTTCTCCAAGTTCCCTGCAATCATAATTAAACAATACTTTTCATTTCCTTAGATTTGCAAGTTAAGATTCTCCCTATTGTTTCCAATGAAATTCAAAGAGGTCGCTCTCCCTGCGTAATTGCTTTAGGAAAAATAAAGAAGAGAGAGAGAGAGAGAGAGAGAGAGAGAGAGAAGGGGAAAAGAGCGACGAGAGATTTCAGCGTTTCTCGTTTCAGTGGAATCGCGAGGCCTGGCTCTTCCCTGACAAAGTTGCAATTTCATATGCGCCACGTACGATGCATTTACGACGAGAGCAGCGGCCAGATCAGCCGGTACACGGACGCGCACCGGGGGGAGAGATATGCCTGTGTGTACACGTGTAGAAAAGTTCAATTGGCGGAGTCCTTCCGGTTTCGCCGGTATTTTAAGCACGCGCACCGTTAACGATCGCGCCCGGTTTCTCCTCATAGCTGCTCCTCCGTCTCCTCCTCTTGAATTCTCGCTTCTCGCATGCTACAATACATTCCACATTTCCTGTCAAATACCGCGAGCACGTGTGAATGCGGCTCGTTTCGCCGCTACTGGGGGAATTTTGACGGTAATAAAGAAACGACGATAGGCCGCGCTATCGACGCGCTTTTCCCTACCCCTCCTCGTCCCTGCCGCGAGTCTCGCGTTCGCGTGAAAGTATGAACACCCGCAACGAGCAATTACAGGCTGATACGAGCGGCCTTGCATTTCGGACGCGTATGTGTGTGTGTGTGTGTGTGTGTGTGTGTATTACAGTGTTCGAGTAGTTTAGAGGCACGCGAAATTTGTTCTCGCGGTGGATTCCCGCGCGTTCTCATGTTCGCAAAGCGACGCGGCGCGTATCTCTTTCCCGACGAATGAATTCCGACCAACTCATTATTCGTTCTCCGAGGTCCCTCCTTGTCCCGACCGAAGCATCCCCGTGCGATCGATCAAAGGCAGCAACAGCAACGGCGGCGGCGGCGGCGGCGGCGGCGGCGGCGGCGGCGGCGGCGGCGGCGGCGGCGGCGGTGGTGGCGGCGGTGGCCGCGGGGTAAGGGAGAAACGTGCAAAAAAGAGGGCCGTTTGCGCGAAATTTCGCGAATAAGAACCGGCCGTCGGCTGGCCGGCTAAATCGCCGGCTCGTTTGGACAGACACCACTCGTTTCGTTTCACTACAGACAAAGAGACATAGAGAGAGAGAGAGAGAGAGAGAGAGAGAGAGAAAGAGAGAGAGAAAGAGGGTCCACCATTCCCTTCGCGTTTTGTAGCAAGCCTGCATTGCGGCGTGCATGCAGCCGCGCGAGAAGCCTCGGGGTTAAAAGTGACCAGGCGCGGCAGTGCCAGTTTCAAAAGAAGCCCCTACATGAAAATCTGCGCCGGCTTATCGAATCTGAAAGTCAATTTCTGCCTCCGTGGCAGACGGGGGAGCTACCGTCGCCGCTGCCGAGTCGTGTGTGCGCTCGAATCTATTAGCTTGTCCCGGAAGCGTCAAAAGCGCCCAAAAGCGTCAAAAGTCTTTTTGCCGCGGAATATTCATCGACGCCTCGGCGCGGTTATCACCGCGATAACCGCCGCACAATCCCGACTTTCTGGCATCCGTAATCCAGCCCGCACACAACACCGATACCCCAATACTCCGAGTTCTCTCCCCTTTCCGGATATCCATCGGATATTCGAGTCGCACCGCAACGATGTACCACGAATTTATTGGTCGTTAATAACAATGACACGCCAAGTAGAAACGGATTATACCGCGGGTGAATCTCGCGAATGAAACAGCAGGAACATAGAGATGTTCCTACAGTTTTCTCGCTCGTGCCTTCGTCTCGGGCCTTCGTCGCGCGCCTCGTCGTTCAGTTCGCACTTTATCGCGCGCTTGCGCTTTATTTTATGCGCGGCGACACGCACTTTGCGATTTTTCGCTCGTCATCGTAATTATCGGCGGCCAGTAGAGGAGCCGAGGGCGATTAGAACGGCCCGGCGACGACGCCCGCGCAGCCGAATATCGATCGCGTGATGAGCTTAAATTGCTAACTTGATAAACTCCTGCAAACTCTCGATTCAAAATTTCCCTCTTTTTCTTTCTTTATCGTAATTCCGCTTTTCATCGTAATTCCATCAGAATATTTGGCGTTTAACTGATATTTGCCTTCCACTCTGCGCCACTGACTCTGGCAATGCTACGATCTTTTCTATAACTGGGATAGCTGGAATTGTGACAAAGAGCTGTGGTGAATCGCGCGACTATGTTACAATTGTATATAATCTCTTGACGTGAGTGAGAACACGTGTGCGTGCGTGCGTGCGTGCGTGCGCGGGTGTGTGCGTGCGTATGTGTGCCTGTGCTGGATGAATGCGCTCGTACATGTGCTCGTTTGTACATTCTCCCGTGAAATCCACGGTCCGCGTGTGTGCGCGTGCGAATGTTTCGTGAGATTCCATCTGGTGAGCCTGATGAGAGAAACGCGAACGTGTCGAAAATTGAAATTGCGACGACCATACTACGTGTATCTACAATAATTATAGATCTCTCTCTACAAATATATACACACCTCAGCGTAATCAGAATAAACGTGTTGATATGAAAAACGACGACATATCAGCCTGTCGACGCTTGGCCGACCTTAAAGAACGCACAACGCAAACACCTTAATTAAATCCGCCGCTTTCTCCAAAGAAATCGGCGACACATTCATCGAGACGATCATTTATACGAAACGAAAATATGTTCTTCAGCTGTCTCTTTTCTTCACCCTAAGCCGAGAAGTGATCTTTCAAAACTTTCAGGTCAGCCATCGTTCGTCAGAATAGATTTTTCCGCGATTTCTTTATCCCATCCTAGAAAAGTCTTCCGTCCTCACACAACGAATCACGCGGGTGAGTATATTCATTATTACGTACGACTCATTCCTCCGTAACGATCGCTTCGATGTTTGTCCAATGAATGAAATGAAACGTCTCTTCCGAAGATTCAACGTAAACAGCGAGACTCCACTGTACGCGCTGGCCAATTACGTAATGCTCGTACGTACATGCATCCGCATCGAGTATACCGGGGTAAAAACCGGAGTAGTACGGATGATAAAGCGGGCAAAGTTAATACTGTGTTTTACATCGCGGCGAAATTAGAAACGGCGCTACCATAACGAACATACTTTGTCGCATTTCCTTCTATTAATTACGCGGAGCTCGAACACGCGAAACCGGCGAGAGGTACAGAGAGAGAGAGAGATAGAGAGAGAGAGAGATAGAGAGAGAGAGAGAGAGAGAGAGAGAGAGAAAGAGAGAGAGAGAGACAGAGAGAAAGAAGAGACAGGAGGGATATAGAAGCGCCGGGTTTCATTATTTCATTTATCATGCACCCGTTGGTGCACCTATATGCGTGCGGTAATGCGCGACTCTCGGAGGAAGGGAGCCAGGATTACGACGAGGATCCGAGCGAGGTGAGAATTCGCAGAGCCCCGAAAGAGGTCTTCGCCGCCGTCTCCTCCTACATATCGGACGGAACGACCTTCACGTTTCTCTCCTCTTTTCCGCCAATCCAGTTCCTCCGACACGTGCTTGCGTCCCGCGAGTCCTTCTCCGGAGATAACATAAATCCTGGATCGTCCCGCTGGCATCTCCAGCCTCTCCCGTCGTCTCTCTCGCCAATTGTCTGCCGGCCGTTCTCGCGAAATGGCGTTTACGTCGGGTGGAGACGCGAGATTGCGAGCGAGTAATTAAAAAATCGTCGAGAAAAACCCGCAGTCTCTTCTCCCGCCCCGCCCCCCCTCCTCTCTCTCTCACACTCTCCCTCTTTCATTCTTCCTTTTCTATTTCCACCTCCTTCTCTCGCTTGTGCGCTGCGATATCCGTTCCGTTGCGAAAGAAGAAAGTACGAAAGGTATGCTATCCTGCCCTCTTCTACTTCCTCTTCTGCCTCTCTCTCTCTCTCTCTCTCTCTCTCTCTCTCTCTCTCTCTTCACCGGCTCGTCCCGCCGCCGCAGCTTTATTGCTTCTGGGATTTACAGAGAGCAATGGTAGGTAGCGGCGTTTGATTATCTCGGTTTCGTTGACTGCTTGCCCCGACTAAGATTCATATTTCACGTTCTCTCCGGCCCTTGACGTCGCGCTAACGTAAAATTCAAGCGGCGAAAGGCGGCATGGACGGCGCGCGATTTCACGCGAGTTCTCGCTTGAATAGATTTCAAACGCGCGAGAGATACGCGTCACCCGATATTTCGGATTCGGATCGTTTTCCCGAGCAACGCTCTCACGACACAAACCACCGGTATGTAATATTGTTTACGGGGAAGCTCCCCCGCAAACAATTAAAACAGATTAATCTCTCCCGTTCGATACATCTCCGCGAAATCATCGAGAGAGAGAGAGAGAGAGAGGGAGAGAGAGAGAGAGAGAGTTGCACGTCTCGCTTGATTTTTATCCGCTTCGCGAGAAACGATGCGGCTCTCTGTCGGAGAATCGGAGATTTGTTATCGCTTCGCAATTTTTAAAGTGCCCCGAGTAAATTCCACTTGATAGTTATTGCCTGAGCCGAGATCCCAGCAGTTATTAAGATTACGCGTTCCGATGAGAAGGAAAGAGAGAGAAAGAGAGAGAGAGAGAGAGAGAGAGAGAGAGAGAGAGAGAGAGAGAGAGAGAGAAGCAGAGAGGGCTTTTATAGAGTAGGCAGGTAATAAGGGCAACGGCTCGGCGAAGCCAAGTCAAGAGAGAGAGAGAGAGAGAGAGAGATTCTTAAGCTCCAGTTATTACCGAAAACTTATTAAGTACACGTCGGATTTCCTTACCTTCCGCAATGACAACGCGAGGTATTAAGTTAACGTTACAGACTCTACCCAGACTCGCCACGGCACGTAACGAGTTACCTCGAGCCTCCGTAATCGTTTCTTTTCGCGGCTTATGG